ACTCTTTCCGTAAGCAGCTCTCGCTGGTTCTTGATCCTGGGGGTTTACCATAAAATCTGCAGAAGGCCATGGGGGGAGGGGATGGGGGGGATGCCGCCTACTGAAGAGATGCCCTAGCTCACTACCCGCTTCCTCTCGGCCGGCAAGGATCCCTCCTCGCCAGTTTGCATCGCTGCTGGGCGGGCACGTTACAGGTCTTCCCGAAGGCAGGCAGGCCACGGGCAGCGAAGCTCAAATCAAACCCGGGACGGGATGGTGACACTGGCTGCTTCCGAGGAGTCGTCTGGGGGCCGGGAGATTTAGGGTTTGGAGTGAGCACGTGCAGCCTGTGGCCCTTCTGAACACACAGGAGCACAGAGCTGGCTCTGCCTCCACGGTGGGGGGGCTGAACCGTGAGGTCACTGCACAGCTCTCAGCAAGTGAGGGAGAGCACCGTAAGTACAGGAAGTTAAAAACCCTGAGCAGCCCAGGGCTCTCAGGAGGAGGAGGGCGCCAGGTGTGCCCAGCAGCCCAGGGTCAACGGGTGCTGCGGCCGGCCAACGGGGAGGAGCCTGGCCCGGGGCCTCGCGTGCCTCCTCCAGGTCTCCCAGCGCCCGGAACTGTTCCAAGGATCTCGTGCTTTACAGTTCTTTGTTTGGGGTTCTCGTGGGTTGTTGAAGGAAACGTCTCACGTGTGGGCGAGGATGATAAAGCCTTGGAAGCCTTCAAACCCAAGTCTGTTCCCAGGGGGTTTACAAAACAGGCACTGGGTCTGCTTGTCTTCTCAGATATAATGAAGTCTAAAAGCAACCCTGACTTCTTGAAGAAAGACAGATCCTGTGTCAGCCGACAGCTCAGGAGCATCAGGTCCAAGGTGAGTCTGGGGTCCAGCCCTGCGTACGTAGAGCCCACCTAGGGCCGCAGCAGAGGGTCCCCAGGGTCCCAGAACGCACTGGCCCCACACGCTTAGCCTGCTGGGCCAGTTCCAGGGGCTTCGCACCGAGTGTGTCCCTCGCCCAGCAGTGGGACCATCTCCTGCCCGCGACAGCGGAGGGCCAGGCCCACAGCAAGCAGGGCTCGGGTGAATCCCCTCAGACCGGTGCCCTGCTGGGTCGGTCCTGCCCCATCTGGACTGCTCCTTGCACGTCCCTAGTTCATGCTGACGCCGGCGGCCTTCGAGAGACAAAGCTGCCCGCGCCACTTCCCCCTCAGCGTGTGCCCTCCGCCCCCACGTGCCCCTCTGTGGGAAGGTGGGTTGGAGGGTGGGGGTGACCAGCACGTTGCATTTAGGATTTATTGTGTGTGTGTCTTTTGTTTTCTGCTCTTTCCCCTGACAGTCCGTAATTGAGCAGGTCTCATGGGATAACTGAAACGACCCGCTTCCCGGTCCCTTGTCATGTAGGTAAACCACTCTCACCACCACCCACCCGCCCGCCGCCCTCGAGGGGGTGCTACCTGCATGCACACTGCTCACACCTCCATAGCGAGCTCCTTGTTTTCTGGTCACTTTCATTCCTCCTGCTCCAGCCAGCACATACACGATCCATGTGAAGTTTCTTAACCTGTTCTGGGGAGTTTAACCTCTTAACAGAGGGGAGTTCCCCCCAGCTTGGTGGGCTGCCCGTGGGGCCAGCATCTCGGCCCCATCACATGCATGTCGAATGGTTTGTGCGCTCACGTTCTGTGGGGGCACCGCTGCCCTCCGTCGGGAAGCAGACTTGACAGAGCCGCCCACTGCTGAAGTACCCCCGCCCCGCGCCCCCCGCCCCGCTAACAGGCTCAGGAGGCCCGAGCCCAGCAAGCCAGGGAGCTGATACCTCGCGCACGCAGCTCCGGAAACCACTCAGTACAGCGAGCGCTCGGGGCTGAGCGTTTGCCAGCCCCGAGGACCCCGGGTGCCTCCGAAGACGGGAAGCAGGGGCTGAATGAGCGCTGGCTCAGAAACATCAGGCTGTCTGACCCTGACCCTGCCTGGACGCTCCCGACTCCCACGAGGCCCAGGCATCCGGGGCACAGAGTCACTCATTCCCTAGTGGGTGTATCAGCTCTGCTGACCTGATCTCGTCGATCCTCTGATAAGGAAGTTGAGGACAGCAGGAAGGGCTCGGAACGGGACGCTGGCAGGGGGGGCCGGCTCACTTGCGGGCTGAGGGGTTTGGTTTAGGGAGAGTTTACGGAAGGAAATCCAAGTAGTTTTGCACTTGATATGTTTATTTCCCTAC